TCTAACAGAGTTGTAAGTGCTACTGCTTTTTAAACTAAATGTGCCTTCCACAGTGCTGTGTGGAAGGTGAAGAAAACTTCTAGACTTCTGTCAGTTCCTTCCAAAAATAAAAATTCAGCTTGAGCCAGTAACTAATTATCAGCACATCCTGATGCATAAACTCTTTGCTACAACTCCTTTCCCAACTGAAGGAGGGCTAGATTGCTAAAGGAGAAAATAAACTGGAAAAGCCCAGACAGTGGTTGTGGTTATCAGAAGAAAATGGAAGAGCCAGTCAAACCCTGAGTATTTCTAAGCTGATTGTCAGAACATCTTGTCATGGGCTTCAATTTCTTGGTCTATGCTGTAAACTTAATCTCTCTAGAGAATGAATCATGTGTGGAGCATTGCTTTCTTCATGTAAAGCTGATAATAAATATTTATTCACAGAAAGAATGGTTCCACTTTTTTTAAGTAAACATTAGCTGTGCTTAATTTAAGTCAAGAAATCTCTTCATTTTCTTGACCCATGTACTTACTTAATTAGAGACTCCTTCAATAGTCGACTGTCGCAATCTTTATTGCAGAGATAGATATCTCAAACAGGTCATGGCCAGCTAGAAGATTCCTTGGCTGGTGGAGTTTGAGCTGTTCATCTTCATTTCTGTTTTTGTAGATCTCTCTCTAAGGATTACCTTGTTCTCAGTTTGCTCACCAGATTTTTATTTCTACACTGCTACTGTCATCTTGTAGGAGTGTAATCAATCTCCTAGGTGAAGTGAGATCAGAATAATTCAGTGTTAAAAAGCTAGTATTTGAGTGAAAATATAATCAAGATTTCTTTTGTTTTCATTTTACATTGTCTGTGTAACAACTTTGAGATCTCGCTTTTCAAGTACATTTCAGTTTCTTTTCTGTAGCATGGGAATTACTGTACTTTCCCATTTCCTAAGCTGAGGCTGAATTCATCAATATTTACAGAACTCTAAGATCCTCAGCTGGCAGGAGACATAGAATTGAAAGTGTATAAACAAACATGAGCAAAAACCTGGAATAACAACTTTGTGTTTTGACACCAGAGTTTGCAAGTTGCATTCAGCTGTCTTCCCCAGCATTGTGAAATACCTTGCCTGTGACAAAGACTCGCCCTGTGTCATCTATTCATTCTCCAATGGCACATTTAGATTGTAGCATTTTAGAAAACACAAGAGACTTCACAAGCATTTTAGGGCCTAAATAGCAAAAAGCTCTTTCCAACAAGGAGAAAGAGTAGAGTTCAGGAGACAGGAATTGTGTAATGTTATAAAACAAACCTGGAATTACAGGTATTAAGAAAGAAAATATACTACCTGTCTCCTGCTCTTTCCCATGGAGGAGTTAATTCAGGAACATTCAGTGTACTGGAAATGTGCTGTATGAAAAGCACTCAGTTTACTTTGGATGAGCTCCTTGCTTTTGATGTTTTATGATATATTGGATGTTCAGCTGTTGTGTTTCAAGCAGATTTCTAAGTGCACCTCAGTCTCTTAAATGCTGGTGAGGAGTTCTTAGCTTGATGGGATTTCCAAGCTGTATTTAAAGACTATGTTACTATTGTTTCCCAAAAGATAGTACTAGCAATTACTTCTGCTTTGGAAGCAGCTCTAAAACTTGGACTTCAGTACTGATTAAATATTTCAGTGATGAAAAAGATGTGCTGCAATACAACATTTCTGTACCTCTAGAGCAGTCCCTGTCAGATCTTCTACAGAAGCATCACACTGGCAGATCATTTTTCAAGGAACATCCTCTCCTGACTTGTGAGACTGCAGAAATCAAAACACGTTTTTCTCTATATCAAAAGAGAACCATAGAAGAATACGTGTCATACAGTATTTAGTTTTGATCTTTAGATATTTCCTGATCTTTGACCTAAAAATACTCCTTGTAGTATAGAAGTGAAGAGGGCTTCTCACTCCCAGTTGTCATTGGCTGTTAGACTTATTAGAAAATATTGGGAAGTCTTGTGGGTAGACATCTGTGGGACAGTGGTGACATCTGTGGAGTGTTACTTCTGTGAGAATATGCCCCCAAAATTAGGTTCAAGAACCCTATAACTAGTGTTGTTGTACATTTAAGATAACCCTTGATATGATCTAAAGGTCACAAGAACAGATCTTGCTGAAAATTAAAGGCTTGTTTTTGAGATCTCTTAAAAGGGAGGGAAGGAAGTGAAGACTGAAAATGCCCTTAGAACTGCACTTCACCATAAACTGAGGCAATCATTAGCTCTCTCAGATCCAGGCCTAGCTGAGCTACAAATATACTGGCTTCCCTGCCAGAGAGTTACGTCACGACCACAAAAGTTAAATAAAACCTTTTCCATTCTGTAGTTTAAAAACAGCTTAATAGAGAAGATTTCGTATTAACAGGGTGGTTTCTTCCCCATAGCAGCGACGAACATGGAAAAACTGACCCGTGCCCAGTTTAGTCTTGACTTGTCTATTCCAGACTCTTCTAAAGTGATTGTTTCACAGGCACTAATCTGTGACCCTTCACATGGGTTCATTTTCATTCCTTAAATAGACAGGTGTCCACAGAGCACATAAGTTGTCTCTTCTTGTCGGGTTTCTCAGAAGAACTTATCATTGAACAAAGCCCAAACTGCACTCAGTCTGCAAGGACAGCAGGATGTGTGTTTTCAGTGGAACTGGCTCAAAGAAAACAAATCACAAGAATATAAACTTGTTGTGGTGTCTCCTAAAAAAAAACCAACTGTGAGCCTTTGAACCAGCCTTAATTTTAAAGCCTGCCTAGAAAGTTCTCCAATCTTGTGGCCCACATACTACGATCCCATAGAATAAAGTCACTGGAACAGAGGAACAGGATTGGGAAGGATGTACCAAATCACAGGAGTCTGCAGTGAGATGTCATGCTTTTGTACATTTTTCTCTGTGTTGGTGACTGATACCTTGGTCTTTTTGTTGTTATTAACTTGACTTTGAGACATCTCTGTGTGTCCCTTGTCTAACACACCCATCTATCTTCACACTCTGCATCTTACCATCAGACACTTCAATAAAGGGGATTAAGAGCTGAGTCACAAAATGCAACTTGAGAAATATGAAAAAATGTCGTGTGGGGTGCGAGGAAATCAAGTTCTCATTGTAGCATACCTGTGTTTCCTGGAAATCCTCTGGTTTACAGGTAGCCTTTTGTCTTGCAGGAAGATCTACAACCTCTCTGACTTCACTTGCAAGGAGAGGACAGAGAGCCAAGTACCCAGGTGACCCGAGCTGCTTTATCTGTTCTAGCACCTCTCCTGCCTTCACTTAGCATGAAAACCTCTGGCTCTCTGAGGGTTACTGTGCACTTTCCGATTAAAAGACTCACAGCAATAACTGATTTTTGCCAGAATGTAAAGGCTGCCAACACTAACAGTGCAGGGGGTTCTGCCTTTAGAGACGATGCACTCACTCTTCACAAATAGGTGGTTAGTCAGCCGGATGGGGGAGGGCAGTCCGGACACCAAAACGTGTTGTTCCTCAGCTCCTTTCATTTTTATATTTAATGATCCTAAAGTGCCGATGCTGCCCGAAGCTGCAACTTCCCAGCCACCTGTGCCTTCTGGTACGAGTGCCCCAGCCCCCCGCCGCTTCATGCGGACGGTCCCTCGA